ACCAAAAAAAAAAAAAAAAAAAGGAAAAAGTGAATTAAGGACATCTTTACAAAAGAGTACTTTTTTTATCAATCCAGCCTGAAATCAAATTCACTATTGAGAGAAGTTATATTGAAACCTTTTAACCGACTTAGTCACCTATGATAGATCAAAAGAATTTTATATAATCTATAACTTACAAAGATCAAACTCATTTGGGCGAGGAATACATGAATCACTTTTTCAATCATGAATATAAATAGTTTAATGCAGAAATACCAATCAATATGTATTATAAACGGAACACTACGTTAAATGGCTATAATAGGTGGATCTGTAAGTGTTAGGAGAGAGGATTCAAAAAATAATTGAATTAACGATCGTAACACATAACTCTCTTGCACATGGATTGACATCTAAACATCATCGCCACCTTGTATACCAAAGGACACTATCCATTCGCCTAACCTAGCAAATCTACAAATCATTTTAATTTCAGGAAAATCACAGTGAATAACTACATTAGAAATGTAGTTCTGAAGTTGATTGCAAGCTCTTTTAGGGAAAAAAAAGTAAGATAAAACTCGGCCAATTCAATCAATTTAGGTTTATTAATTAAATGGAAAATTAAATTATTTGGTCCAAGAAAATTTACCAATCAACGCCATATTACAATTATATAAATTGTTGTTCAACCACTAAAATGAAATATATAAATGTATAATTCAACTTGATAGAAAAGAGGAATAGAGAGGATTAAACTTGAGAAGTTGAGACATATTGTTATGCATTTTACTCATTATGAATCTACTGTTAGCAGATACGTATTTATACTTGAGTTTTTTATCATTCCAAGGTGGGCCAAGACCTTTGTGATCCGAATATGGCTCCGGTTGGTACTGTTCATAACAAGGGAATACTTGTGTTTTTATTGTCTAAACAAGTTGTAAAAGGAAAAGTTGGACATTTAAGATGATTATTTTCTTGCTTCTCTATTTTTCATGTTTTAGCATGACCATAAAAGAAGTAATAAACCATTTTACATTTGTTGCTCACAAATATATGATATCTGCTTCTTTATACTTGATTGTTATAGCATCATGAGACCAAAAGCAATAATATTTTGTATTAGTCACTCACTCCTTTATTGTCATTTGTGATTAACATATCAAAATATTATTTTGTTTTGTTAAATTATTCATATAATAATTTATGGAATCAAGAAATTATTTGGCGTATTTATAATCTGTAGGTATATAATAGATTATTGTTCATGATACTAGGTCAGAATTTGAATTTCCTTCTACTCACCATCGTGAATATGACGATAGTTAAAGTGAGACTCATAGTGACTTATAGCTCTGTAGGTTTATTCGCTCTGTAGCTGTTCACTTATAGAGTTGAATTAGAGATGAGCTTCACCTGATCGACTCCTCTTGCAAAAAAAAAAAAGTAAAAATAAAATAAAACAATTATCGAAATAATACTTCCTGTATTATACTTTGTAAACTTTGAAATGGTAAAAAAAAAAGATTTATAAAAAGAACTCTTTTCGATCACCAGATGTTAATGGAAAAATCAATTATTACCATAAAACACCAAACATGATAAATACAAGTTGCAAAACATAACAGGGTGTTAAAAGCAAGCAAATACCCAAAAAACAATAAATAAACGACAAAATCACCGGCCAGCATCCAAAAAAGCGCCTCCTTTACTCCCATTTTCCTCCTTCCCAAATCTCCACCGATCTCGCCTCCGGCCATCGAATCAGCACCGCCGTCTCTAGATCCAGAACCATCTAGAAGGACCTCGCGGTGCCCTAATGGAGTCGATCCTGGCCCGAGCTCTGGAGTACACGCTCAAGTACTGGCTCAAATCCTTCTCCAGGGACCAGTTCAAGCTCCAGGGGCGCACTGCTCAGCTCTCGAACCTAGGTTTGTAAATTTTGCAGAGAAGTCCCTGGATTTTTTGGTAATTGCTAATTTTGGCCTGGTTTTTGGGAAATTCTGCAGATATAAATGGGGATGTTTTGCACGCGAGCTTGGGGCTGCCGCCGGCTTTGAATGTGGCCACTGCAAAAGTTGGGAAGCTTGAGATCACGGTAATTTTGTAGATTTTTGAAGTTAAATTTGGGGTTTTTTATTTGTTTGTTTAGCTTTGTTTAGTTATGTATTTGGTATTTGTGATTCATTAGAACATATGGTTAGTTGTTGGTAGCTAAATTTTACTTTTTTTGTTCTGTTTAATTGTTTTCACTCGCCTATATTAGATTGTTAAGTTATATATGCTGTCAAAGTGACTTTTTAATTTATCCATTTGTACCATGCACTTGAAATATAGAGGATTTGTGAAGTGGAAGTTGGGTTCTTTGTTTATTTGTCAAGTTTAGCTTAGACCATCTCCAACCGGCCTCTATATCTCCAAAATCTCCAAATTTGGAGAGTGGAACCTCTCCAACCACTCTCCAAAATTGACCCTCCAAATTTGGAGGGTGAGGAGAAAAAATGGAGGGTCTCTCCATAACACTATTCATGGTTTATTAATTATAATTTTGTCATTTTTAACTATTTGATTTCTTAAAAAGTACCACTTTGTCATCCTTCTTAGTAATTTAAATTAGATGTTTAATTTTAAATAAATATAGTTAAAAAATTATTAATCTAATATTTGAAATCATTATATATTTGGAAAGGGATCGTTGAGATCTTTAAAATGAAACTAAGATTAATTTATTTTAGTATTATTATAAAATTATTAATTTTTAAATTAAATAAATAAGTATCAGACATAAAATTTTAAATATGGGGATCTATTTAACTTGCTCCATAAGAAAATACAAGCATAAATTATAATATTTAAATTACATTTCTTCGTTGTCGTGTTTCTGCCATAAATGTTCAATTAGTGCGTTTCGAAGCATAAAATGAGCTTCCCTATCTTGAATCTTCCTATGTCGATCAAGGAATCGTTGGAATCGTTCGGCATCATCAATATCTATCTCTTTAGGTCTTGAAATTTCGTCATGAACAATAATCTCTGGTTCTGCATCGCGTTCATCCTCCACAGTCATGTTATGTAGTATAATACAAGCAGTCATTATGTCGTGTAGTCTCCGCTTGTCCCAAGAACGTGATGGTCCCTTGATAATGGCAAATCGTGACTGAAGAACACCAAAAGCCCGCTCTACATCTTTTAATATGTTGTATTGCAGTATTAATATTGGGTTTATTTTAAAGCTCTCATCGACACCTTTATAATGTTATAAATTTTTTTCCAAATAAATTATTAACAATAAAATTATTAACGTAAACTATATCCAACATTATTTAATTTATATGGCTTTTTTAATAAAAATAAATAAAAAAAAACATTTGAAGAGTGTGGGTTGGAGCAACCCTCCAAATTTCACCCTCCAAATTAGAATATTCCTAGAATATTCTAATTTGGAGGGTGAAATTTGGAGGGTATGGTTGGAGATGCCCTTAGTGATGTATTGGGGTTTTTTTCTTATTAATTAGCTGAAAAGATCGGTTGGTGGTCACTAAATTATACCTTTTTAGTCACCTTTTGTAGATTTTGGTTTAATTATTGGGATTATGATTTTTTTTTGGTATAACTGATTTTTTTTGTTTTTAATTTTCTTTTATCCACCTATTTTAGGTTGGTGCTCATTTTCTTTCTTTCTTCCTTTTTTCTGATTCAAATGAGTTTTTAAGCTATTATTACTTTAATGACGAAATTGCTTTTTTTTTTGTTAATTTATATTTTCTGTAAAGGTCGCTTTTCATTTGTTTATTTTAGCTGGTGTTTTAAACTTTAGATGAAGAATTTGCATGGATATCACTTATATTAATAACCATCGAGGTGTCATATTAATAGTGTATAATCCCCAAATGAAATCTAGGCATACAGACAGGGCCGGTTCTGAGATTTTAGGGGCCCTGTGTGAAAAATAAACACATGACCCTTCTCTATATACAAAATATCAATAAATTTCAATTTGAATCCCTAAAATGCTGGGAGCAAAATGTTACTGATCAGACATTAAAATGTTACTTGGTTTTTTTGCATCAAGATAGTCTTTAACATACTTTTCAAGTACTATTGCCCATTCTTCATCTCTTCGGTCACCTGAATAAAATGTTACTGATTAGATAAATGCATGTAATCCTACCTTAATAAAGCTTTCCAATAGAGCAAATAGTCCACAATAAGAAGTACTTACATATTATGTTCCTCTTGTATCTGTGCTTACCTTTATAAGAGATATTGAAGCCTTTAGCATCAAAAAGTATTATCGAAAAGTTATCCTCCTTGCATTTTTAGTTGCAAAATCACTAATTAAGCCTTTAACATCAATTTTATCTATAAAATTATTTTCAATGGATATCAAAGTTACTCCATTTAGTCTTTCTTGTGACATGGTCAATCTCAGATAAGATTTTAATAATTTTAATTTTAAAAAACTTCTTTCTACAGATGCGACTGTAACAGGTATAGTCAATAATATTCTATAAGCAATACATGTATTTGGAAAACAATTTCGTATTTTAAAGAAATTCAGTATATCAATAGCCATCTTTGTTTCTTTTGGTAAAATATTTTGTAATATTTTTAGTTCTCCCAATAAATCTTTCCCATCAAGATCAGAAAATGTTTTATATTTTAGAACAATTTCAAGATTATCACAACATGCTTTCAAATTATTATCATCTAATGAACTTAACTTTTCTGAACCAAACAAAAATCCAAAAATATCTTCATATGCTTTATATTGCTCAAACCTTTTCTTTAGTGAACCAATAGTTTGATCTACAATATACAAAAAATAATTGATTCTAAAAGATTCTTCAGCTAATTGTGTTGTCTCCTCATTAACATTCTCATTAAATTGTCTTTTTCTACGGATTTGACGTTTTACTTGAAATACAGAATCAATTTTCATTTCAGTAGCTATTTCTTTAGCAATTGTCATAGCTTGTGTGAGCCAAACTTCTCTATAATCCTCAAAAAACCTAATCAATCCTTTTACTTGATCTATAGCAATATCAATGAGCATGTCTTTAGATTGTAAAGATTTGCTAATTAAGTTAACAACAAATAATATATCATACCAAATAATCATACTGTTTGGGTAGAAAATTGTATTCTTCATTGTATATCTCATTACAACTCTGATCGTTACAACAAGTTCAAAAAGATCGGTCTTTTTATAAGATCTTTACACAATAAAAATAAAAGTTACAATTCTCGTTCAAACAACACGCAAACAGGTGTTTATCGTCTATTGCTTTGCGTGGGATCTTCGTCTGTGTCGGGGATGTCAATATCCGTGGACCACCTTTGATCTGGATCCGGTTGATGAAAAATTCGGTAGAGCTTCGCCTTCGCCGAGGAAGTATTTGATTTGAAGCGCTGAGATCGATCAAGCGAAATCAGCACTCTTCTTGAGATCAAGACCAAGTCTGATCTCAAGGAAATGGGGGAAGCATGCTACGGATCTCTCGAACTCTCATTCTTTATGCTGAAGAACTCGTCAAGATCTGTCAACCCTTGCTGAAATTCGTGCTCCTTTGATTCCTCAAACCGGCAACACCTTGCCCTCTTGATAATAATTCCGTCCTTATAAAATGAACCCCTAGGCCTGTATTTATAGGCTTCGGTTGAGGGTTTTCGGATAAGAATGGATGATTTAACCTTATCTTCAGTTAATAATGACCTAACCATGTTTATAGATGATATCAAGTCAGTTGGGAATCCCTGGAACAGATAAATCCCGAGAAAACCGCTCAAAACCGTCGAAAACGCGTCCGAAAGTCGAAACAGCGCGGGGTGGCACGATCCGACCCGCGCTTGCGCGGGTCGAACCGCGCGCGCGTTTTTTGGTCTTTGGTGTTTTTTCGATTCTCCGGGACTTGTATTTTTTGCTGCTTTGTTTACTCGCCCGTTGTGTTAACTCGTACGCTCCGCGCGAGTTTACCGACGTGCGCTAGTTTATTGACGCGCGCGAGCTGACCGACGCGCGCGGGCTTATTATTGAGCGCGTTCGGACACTTAGAGCTGATTAACGCGCGCGAGCTGATTGTTGGGCGCGCGTTGATTGACGTGCGCGAGCTGATTGTTAGGCGCGCGTTGATTGACGTGCGCGAGCTGATTGACGCGCGCAAGCTGACTGTTGAGCGCGCAGGCCACTCGGTTCGCCGTTTCGTTTTATGCGTTTGTCGGCGTCAGATAATCCTTTTAGACTTGGATATCGACGTTCGTCGTCTTCTCTCTGTTTCGAGCTATGTGCGGACACCTATAGGCATTTTTAGACACCTACAGTGTCCCCTCCAAAGTATTTCAGACTCATTTTTTTTATAGATGAGTCTGGAATGCTTTGGATAAGATAGGTCATTTCCTCAATTTCGTAGAGGGACCTGTGAACTGTTTTAATTCTTAACTTCTTCAGCTTTCAGTCCATTCAGTGTTTTGTCGAATAGATGAAGTTCATCCGGCGTTGCGTTTATTGTCTGACCGTTATTGAAATCTTGAACTGAAGTTGATGCGTAAGTTTCTGAATTTAGCTCGTGTCATTGAGTTGATTTTGAACTGATCATCTTCGTCTGAAATTCATATCTGAATCCGATTGAACTCCCTGGAATCATCATTTGCCTTATTTTGGCGAAATTATCGATGTGTTGACCGGCATCGACTTTTACTGTAACGCGTTGTCCGGCGTTGAGTTTAGGGTTTTGCATCGACATGCGTTATCTTTCATCGCAACACGTTGACTGGTGTTTACACAGTTTATACTCGTACGTTTACTGGAGTCTACACAGTTTAAGCTCTTAAGGTGTTGGAGCATGACGGTCCCAAATATTAAGGATACAAGACCAACTGTTAAAGCTGATTCATCTGCATGAATGGTTCTTATCTGAAGTTGTTGGATGCTTAAGTCACGAGACCAACTAATAGGGCTGATGCGTCAATGACTCTCGTATTTATAGGATTATTGGTAAACCCTCAGCCGTCAACGGGTTTGATTAGCCTTTACCGACTACTGTTTGAGTGGGGCTAGCATGTGGATTGTTTAAGTCCGTTCCGTATGTAACGTTGTGC